GGAGGAGGAGGAGGATGAAGATGATGATGCTGATGATGATGCTGATGATGAAACTGATCATGATGCTGATGATGATGCTGATGATGATTCTGATGATGATAATGATGATGGTGGTGGTGATGATGATGCTAATGCTGATTATGATGAGGATGATGCTGATGATGCTGATGATGATGATGATGATGATGCTGGTGCTGATTACAATTATGATGGTTATGAAGATGATGCTGTTTATGATGATGATGATGATGATGATGAGGAGGAGGAGGAGGAGGAGGAGGAGTAGTGGTAGGAGGAGGATGGGGAGGAGGAGGAGGAGGAGGAGGAGGAGGAGGAGGAGGAGGAGGGGGAGGAGGAGGAGGAGGAGGGGGAGGGGGAGAAGGAGGAGGAGGAGGAGGAGGAGGAGGCGGATGTGGGGCTTTAGGCGGCTTGAGCGTTTTTTTGTTTGTGTTTGTTATCTCTCTCGCTTTTTATCTCTCTTTCTATTTCCGCTTCTTCTCCAACGAAGGAACGGGCAATCTCTTGTTATAATCAGCCGCGCAGGGATCCTCAGGTCAATCCTTCTGGATTTCACCGCACCGGGAATCCCTTTGTAATGCGACAGTTCTTTTGGCGGCGGAAAATCGGGTTCGGATTACAAGCGGATTTCTTTGCGGCGAGACGAAACAGGATTCATGTTTTGGCGGGGTGCAGACGGATTCTCTTTGTTGCAGAACACAAACGCATTCCCCTTGTGGCGAAATTCAGAGACAGAGAGAGAGCCCTTTTGTGGTGGATTCGACAAGGATCCCTTTTGTGGCCGAATATAGAAGGAATCTTTTGGCCGAGTACAAATTTGTTCCCCCTTGTGGCGGCATGCAAAAGGAATCCTTTCGCGGCGGACTGCAAAAGGATTCCTTCTGTGGCGGAATACTACGGGATTCCTTCCGTAGTGCGTTGCAGTGGGGTTCCTTTTGTGGCAGAATAATCATGGAATCCTTCTGTGGTCGATTACCAACGAGTTCCTTATGTTGCAGAGTCCAGGGGGGATTCTTTTGTGGCCGAATACGAAGGTGTTCCCATCCTTGCGTGACGAAGTACAGTCGGACTTATTTTGTTGCAGGATACTCACGGACCCCGTATGTTGCGGAATACTAAAGGATTCCATGTGTGGTGGGTTACCAAGGGTTCTTTTCGTGGCAGAAATCAAGAAGGAATCCTTTTGTGGTTGATTATCTGTGGATTCTTGATGTGGCGGGATATAAAGAGGGTCCTTTGGCGGCCGAATGCAGAAGTTTCCCGTTGTGGCGGGATACAGCAGGGTTCATTTACTGGCAGAGTACAAGGGGCCACATAAATATTCCCATGGTATTTCTTCCACCACTAAAGGAATCCTTTGTAATCCACCACATTTGGAATTCTTCTGTATTCCGCCGCACAAGGGGTCTTTTTGTATTATGCATGAAGGATTCCTTTTTTATTCCACCACTAAAGGATCGCTCTTGTAAACCACCACAAAAGGAATACGATTTTTAGTCTGCCACAAAGGGAATCCGTTTTATTCGGCCACAGCGGGAATTTTTTTCCCAACCATCCTGTGGTGTTGGGTCCTCGTTTTGAAGAGACGGTGGCCCGCGTCTCCTCTCCTCCTCTCCTCCTCCCCCTCCTCCTTGCGTTTCACCCACCCAGCACAGCGTTTCGTAGCCCCATAGGGAGCTCCACCGAAGGCCCCAGTGGCAGGGTTCGCATGGCGGCCTCGGGCCATTTTGGCACACCCCTCACGAGGATCGTGGCCCCATAGGGAGCTCCACTGAAGGCTCCAGTGGCAGGGTTCGCATGGCGGCCTCGGGCCATTTCGGCACACCCCTCACGAGGATCGTGGCCCCATAGGGAGCTCCACCGAAGGCGCCAGTGGCAGGGTTCGCATGGCGGCCTCGGGCCATTTCGGCACACCCCTCACGACGATCGTGGACCCATAAGGGAGCTCCACCGAAGGCGCCACTCGCAGGGTTCGCATGGCGGCCTCGGGCCATTTCGGCACACCCCTCACGAGGATCGTGGCCCCATAGGGAGCTCCACCGAAGGCGCCAGTGGCAAGGTTCGCATGGCGGCCTCGGGCCATTTCGGCACACCCCTCACGAGGATCGTGGCCCCATAGGGAGCTCCACCGAAGGCTGCAGTGGCAGGGTTCGCATGGCGGCCTCGGGCCATTTCGGCACACCCCTCACGAGGATCGTGGCCCCATAGGGAGCTCCACCGAAGGCCCCAGTGGCAGCGTTCGCATGGCGGCTCGGGCCATTTCGGCACACCCCCCATGCGGATCGTGGCCCCGCAGGGAGCTAGGGAGCTTTACCGAAGGCCCCAGTGGCAGGGTTCGCATGGCGGCCTCGGGCCATTTCGGCACACCCCTCACGAGGATAGTGGCCCCATAGGGAGCTCCACCGAAGGCCCCCAGTGGCAGGGTTCGCATGGCGGCCTCGGGCCATTTCGGCACACCCCTCCACGACGATTCGTTTGGACCCATAGGGAGCTCCACTGGAAGGCGCCAGTGGCAGGGGTCGCATGGCGGCCTCGGGCCATTTCGGCACACCCCTCACGAGGTTCGTGGCCCCATAGGGAGCTCCACCGAAGGCGCCAGTGGCAGGGTTCGCATGGCGGCCTCGGGCCATTTCGGCACACCCCTCACGAGGATCGTGGCCCCATAGGGAGCTCCACCGAAGGCCCCAGTGGCAGGGTTCGCATGGCGGCCTCGGGCCATTTCGGCACACCCCTCACGAGGATCGTGGCCCCATAGGGAGCTCCACCGAAGGCGCCAGTGGCAGGGTTCGCATGGCGGCCCCGGGCCATTTCGGCACACCCCTCACGAGGATCGTGGCCCCATAGTTGTGCTGCTTCAACAACCGCGCCTGGGCGTCGTACTCCGCCTTGTCGACGTGCAACGCCACCTCCTCCCTCATGGCTCTCAAGGCCCTTTCCTGCTTTTCTCCTCGGTGAGAGGGACGCCGTCCTTGTCGTCGTCGGCGCCCGCGAAGACGGCCACGAACGTGTCCCTGAGCATGTCGGGCTCTGGCGGGAAGCCGTGGCCACATAGGGAGCGCGGGCGAAGATGGTATTCACAATTGCGGTATTCACAACTGCATATGGTTGGGTCTTTCGTCCGGATAATTTTTATTCCGCAGCGAAGGGGATTCTTTTTGTAACCCGGCACAACCGGACAGCCGCATAAGGGATCATTTTGCATTCCGTCGCAAACGGACTTTGCGTATTACAAAAGCATTCCGTTTGTGGTGGGGCACTACGGGTTCATTTAATTGGACTGGAAGAAGGTTTATGCTTGAATGGAAAACACATCGATTCCTTGTCTGGCGGATTACAGAACGATATCTTTCGTCACGCTATCTCGAAACAAAGCGTTCAAACCGCCCAGGCTTGCATCGTGCCTGGTGCGGGAGGAGGAGTTGGAAAAGGAGGAGGAGGAGGAGGAGGAGGAGGAGGAGGAGGAGGAGGAGGAGGAGGAGGGAGGGCAAGGCGGAGAAGTAGTAGGAGGAGGACGAGGAGGAGGAGGAGGAGGAGGAGGAGGAGGAGGAGGAGGAGGAGGAGGAGTTGGAGGAGGAGGAGGAGGAGTTCCTGCACCGCGTCAAGGCCATCAGGAACACCCCCCAGATAAACGAGGACCTTCCGCGGCGCGTTCCGCCCGTCGGGCGGGGAGTGCGAGCTCCTCTTCCTGCCCCTCCTGCTCCTGCTTCGCCTTCTTATCCTCCTTTCGCCTCTCTTCTCATTCGTTCTCTCTCCTCCTTGTTCTCCGCCTGCTCCTTCTCCTCCTCCTCCTCCTCCTCCTCCTCCTCTTCCCTCTCCTCCTCCTCATCCTCCTCCCGTCCCCCCCACTTCACCTCCTCGTCCCTACTCCCTCCTTCTTCATGCTCCTGCTCCCCGAGACAGCAGGATGATAGACATAATCATGTGTTTTTCCTGGTGGCCTTCCTGATCGCACATTCTCTTTCGTCCGATCTCCTCCTTCTCCTCCTTCTCCTTCTCCTCCTTCTCCTTTTCCTCCTCCTCCACTTCCTTCTCCCTCCTTCCTCCTTCCTCCTCCCTCCTCCCTCCTCCCCCCCTCCTTCCAATTATCGAAGGCGTCTACCGCGAGCCACCTGCTTGTTGGAAACGCCCATGCGGCCACACGTTTGGCCAAACTCTGGCCAAGATATCGGACCATGAGCTTCCCCAAGCCGTTGTGGAACCCGTTGCGGGAACACTTAGGAGAGGAAGAGAAAGGAAGAGGGAAGGGAGGAGAAGTATATAGAAGTATGGGGGAGGAGGAGGAAGGGGAGGCCTCTTGAGGCCCTCTTGGGACCTCCTGTGGGCTTCCTGGAGGCCTCTTGGGGGGTGGCCTCTTTGGGCGCTTTCGGGCCGTGGGGCCGTCTTGGGGCCGTCTTGGGGGCCTCTTGGGCCGTCGTGGGCCCTCTTGGCCCGTCTTGTGGGCAGTCTCGGGACCCCCTTGGGGCGCTGTGGGGCCGCCTTCGGGGCCTCCCCGCGCCGCCTCTCCGTGCCGCCTCTCCCTGCCATCTGGGGGCCCAGTTGGGGCCTTCTTGTTGGGGGGATTGCCCTCCCTCCCCCCCTCCCCCACCCACCCGCCCTCCGGCTTCCGACTCTCCACTTCCAACCCCGTCCTATCGACCTCCAGCGTCCACCAGCTCAGAACTCAGCACTCCGACCTCGGCAGACAGGGACAGCATGCACTGTCGCCCCCCCCCCTGCGCAGGCCCTGACGGGTCCCGCCCCCCGCGGTACCGCGTGCGCTCTCTCTCTCTCTCTCTCTCTCTCTCTCTCTCTCCCCCGACGACCGACGACCGACGACGATCGGAGACGATCGAAGACCGACGACCGACAGCCGATGACGAGCGGCAGGCAACGACGATCGACGACCGACGAGCCACGACGATCGATCGACCCACCGACGACCGACGGCCGCGCGCAGCGCGGCGAGGCCGCCGCGCGGCGGCCGCCCGACCGCCCGCCCGCAGCCGCCTCTGGCTCGGGGCGCGTGCGCGGCGGGGATGGGCCGGCCGGCCCCCGAGCCGGAGGGCGCCGGCCGCACACCCGTCGGGGCTCGAGGGCCGGGTTTCAGTCGGGCGTGTGCCTCTGCAGGGGGAATGTTCAAAAACAGTAAGGAAGAGTCGGGGGACGATTTTTTCACTATTCTTGAGAATTTGGAGGGTATTTTTTGACAATTTTGGCTTTCTCGCCCAAAATCCCCCTGTGGGGGGACAGGCCCGAGGTAAGGCTAGGTCGGGCCTGTCCCTCTACAGGAGGGATGTGCAACAAGAGTGCAAACATGATCGGGGGGCGATGGTTTCGATTTCGACTATGTTTGAGCACTTCTGGAGCATACTTTTTGGAGTACCTTTCATTTTCGCCCCAAATCCCCCTGTAGGGGGACAGGCCCGACCTAACTCCAGGGACGGGTGTTGATGCAAACGGTGGTCAGTCAGAGCGCCAGATCTTGCAGGATGTCTTGCAGGATCCTGCAGGGCCAGGGTTGCATTGACCCGGGTTTGGGTGCAGGATTCTGCAGGATCCTGCAGGATCCTGCAAGGCCCGGCTGATCCAGATTTGGATTGACCCGGGGCAGAAGATCCCCGAACCAGGCATGCGCCGATCCTGGCTGGGCCCATCTCCTCCGAGGAGGATTGGTGCGATCGAAATGGGCAATGATACATTCTTCCATAAGTAAAACGGGGGGGGGTCAGATTTGGGGGAGTTCTGATGGGAGTTGTCTTGGAGGGCTCCGGGGAGTCTGGGCAAAAGGCCGCCCTTCCTTTGCCTTGTCCTGTAAGATTCGGGCCACTGTGTATGGCGCACAGCCCTGCCCACTCCACTCCATCACTACCATAGCGCTCCACCCACGAAGGCCGCCCTTTCGTGGCTGGTTGGGGGATCAAGAACTGCTCGTCTGGGAGAGGTGACCCCCCCATTCATTATGGCATCCGGGAAAGCGAAGACCGACACACTTTCCTGCTCATTCTGAGCAAGACTCGCTGCCAGTGTCGCCGCGGATGTGGTCCGTTTGAGACAGAAGGCCGTCTGTCCAACAGCGGCCGCCTTCGGTTTGGGCATCGTACCCACTTCATCCGTACCTCTTGCGAGCGCCCACATGCGAGGTGCCGATGCCGCTCACATTCTCTCGTGGCCACTGCCGGATTCTCCCCGAACTTCAGGTCAGGAGGCATCCGAGAGGTCTGCGGAGTGGCGGCACGGATGTCGTTTCGTCCTCCCAGTCTCCAGGCCCTGGACCGGCCTCTCCTGGCACTTCCTCCGCCCTCCCTTCCTCCCTCCTGGCCCTCCCTCTCTCTCTCTCTCTGCACTCCCCTCCTCCCTCGCGGCCCTCCTTCGCCCTCCTTCTCTCCTCCTCCTCCCTCCCCCTCCTTCTCCCCTTCTCCTTGTTGACGCTGCACGGACTCAAATCGGATGAAGACCGCAGCGCCCTCATCCTCCTCTTCCTCCTCCTCCTCCTGCTCCACCTCTTTCCTCTCTCCTCCCTTCCTCCTCGTCCTCCTCTTCCTCCTTCTCCTCCTTCTCCTCCTCTTCCTCCTCTCTTTTGCGTTGGGCGAACTTCAAGTGATATCTTTGTAGCGTTCGTCTCCTCCTCCTCCTCTCCCCCCTCCCCACCCCTCCTCCTCCTCCTCCTCCGCACTCCTCCTCCTTTTTTCCTCCTCATCCTCCTCCCTCCCATGCCTCCTCATCATCCTCCCTCCTTCTCCTCCTACTCCTCCTCCTCTCCTCTCTCATCCTCCTCCTCCTCCTTCCTCCCCCCCTCCTTCCTCCTCATCCTCCTCTCCTCTCCTCCCTCCTTCTCCTCATTCTTCTCCTCCTCCTCCTTCTCTCCCCCTCCTCCTTTCTCTCCCCCTCCTCACTCCTCCTATCCTCCTCCTCCTCCCCCCCCCCCTCCTCCTCCTCCCGCTCCTCCTCATCCTCCTCCTCCTCTACTCCTCCTCCTCCTCCTCCTCCTCCTCCTCCTCCTCCCAGGATCGGCGCGCGCGCACGCTCAGCGCCCGTCCTCGGCGAGGCGCGCGCGCGCGCTCCTGCGAGGCCTCGCTGGTCATTGGCGTCCTCCGGCGCCAGGGGAACGCAGCTGCGCGAGTTGATTCGCGAACGTCGTCCTCTCGGCTGCCCCCCCGCTCTCGTCCAGCCCGATAGGGCAGCTGGGCGCGGGCGCGGCTAAGAGCGAGAGAAGCCAAGAGGCGGCCAGCAGCGCACACACAGCACACACACACACGTACACACACGTACACACACCACACACCATACACCATACACCACACACCACACAACACACAACACACAACACACAACACACAACACACAATACACAGCACATAACACAACACAGAACACACACAACACACAACACACAACACACAACACACAGCACCCAACACACAACACACAACACACAACACATAACACACAACCCAACACACAATTCACAACACACAACACACAACACACAACACTCAGCACACAACACACAACACAGCACACAAGACACAACACACAATTCACAACACATTTCGCACAACACACAACAAACAACCCACAACACAACACACAACACAAAACACACAACACACAACACGCAACACACAACACACAACACGCAACACACAACACACAACACACAGCATACAGTACACACCACACATCATACAGCACACAGCACACAGCACACACCACACACAGCGCACAGCACACAACACACAACACACAACACACAACGCACAACACATCACACAATTCACAACACACAACACACAGCACACAACACACAACACACAACACACAACACACAACACACAGCACAACACACAACACACAACACAACACACAACACAAGACAACACACAACAACACACAACACACAACACACAACACACAACACACAACACACAACACACAACATACAACACAAACAACACACACAACACGGACAACACACAACACGCAACACACAACACACACAACACACAACACACAATGCACACAACACACAACACACAACACACAACACACAACATAACACATAACACACAACACACAACGCACACAACACACCACACGCACAACACATAACACACAACACACAGCACACACAACACACAACAGACAACACACACACAACCCACAACACACCACACACCACACACAACACACACACACAACACACAACACACAACACACAACACACAACACAAAACACACAACACACAACATAACACATAACACACAACACACAACACACAACACACATCAGACAACGCACAACACACAACACAACATACAACACACAACACACAACACACAACACACAACGCACAACACACAACACACACACAACACACATTCACGCACACTCACACACAATCACACACATTCACACACACATTCTCACACACACTTTCACACACACACACATTCACACAAATTTTCACACATTCGCGCACATGCACACATTTTCACACACATTCACACACATTCACACACTTTCACACACATTCACATACAAACGCACACATTCACACACATACACACAACACACAACACACACAACACACAACCCACAACACACAATACACACACTTTTTGCGTCGGCGGCTGGGCAGAGGTTGACTGTTCCGGCGGATGGGCAACAGGGGACTCGCTGTATGCAAATTAAGGCCGCAATGTACGGGAGGAGGAGGAGGAGGAGCCCTGGCGCGACGGGGGGACAGGAAGCTGGGCCACTCAGAGCTGCCGGCGGCGGCAGGGGACAGCGCCGGGGGGGGGGGGTGGAGCAGCGCCGGCACACTGAATTGCACTAGCTGAAGCTGGGGGGGGGCACTGAGCTGCGCTGCGCGCAAGCACACACTCTTTTACTCCAGCGGCCGAGTGGTGTCACTTCAGCGAGGGCTACAGCGGGTCACGTTTATCAGGGGAGGATCTGCAAGACATGCTCGCGTCGTAAAGCGACTCGGCGTGGATATTCTCATATATGCATGTCATGTTCCTTGCAAGTCTCGCCGATGGACTCCGTCTGTGAGTTTCTGCGTGCGAGGGCGACTGCGACGAAAACGACGAATTCAGTAACGTTCTCCTCCTCCTGCTGGGTCTGTTTTGGGGACTATGAGGGAATCGTGAAGGGGGATTCTTCTTGCATTTTTTATTGCGGCAGCTCAGGTAAGGCCACATGGCGCGAAAGGGGAAACATTTAGCTCGTTTCTCCAGCGGCCAGAGCAAGTCTTGTTCGCCACCAGAACGAGAAGTGCCGTCGGGATTTGCCGTCGGGCGAGACAATTCCAGTTTTCCGCCGGAAGAGGCCCCCAGGAGGCCCCGCGAGGCTCCCCAAAAGCTCGAAAGGCTTCCAAGAGGCCCCCAAGTGGGCCAAAAGAGGCCCGAAATAAGTTCCCCCAGAGGGCCCCCCAAAGGCTTCAGACCTGCTTTCAACAGGCCCCCGAAAGGCCTCCTACGACATCCCAGCTGACATCCAGGAGGCTCATCATGGAAGCGGCCTGCGGCAAATCCTGCTACCTCTCTTGGGTTGTGGGTCATGGGCCTCTTGGATTTAAGTCGGGCCTGTCCCTCTACAAGATGAGTGTTCAAACATAGTAAAAAAAGAGTCGGGGAACGTTTTTCCCAACCATCCTGTGGTGTTGGGTCCTCGTTTTGAAGAGACGGTGGCCCGCGTCTCCTCTCCTGCTCTTCTCCCCTCCTCTTCTCCTCTCCTCCTCCTTTCCTCCTCCTCCTCCTCCTCCTCCTCCTCCTCCTCCTCCTCCTCCTCCTCCTCCCACCATCATCATCGTCATCACCCATTTCGGCACACCCCTCACACGTTTCGTGGCCCCATAGGGAGCTCCACCGAAGGTCCCAGTGGGTGTGCCCGCATGCGTCCCGCACACCCATTTCGGCACACCCCTCACACGTTTCGTGGCCCCATAGGGGGCTCCACCGAAGGTCCCAGTGGGTGTGCCCGCATGCGTCCCGCACACCCGCTTCGGCACACCCCTCACACGCTTCGTGGCCCCATAGGGAGCTCCACCGAAGGTCCCAGTGGGTGTGCCCGCATGCGTCCCGCACACCCATTTCGGCACACCCCTCACACGTTTCGTGGCCCCATAAGGGAACTTCACCCAACGAAGGTCCCAGTGGGTGTGCCCGCATGCGTCCCGCACACACATTTCGGCACACCCCTCACACGTTTCGTGGCCCCATAGGGAGCTCCACCGAAGGTCCCAGTGGGTGTGCCCGCATGCGTCCCGCACACCCGTTTCGGCACACCCTTCACACGTTTCGTGGCCCCATATGGAGCTCGACCGAAGGTCCCAGTGGGTGTGCCCGCATGCGTCCCGCACACCCATTTCGGCCCACCCCTCACACGTTTCGTGGCCCCATACGGAGCTCCAGCGAAGGTCCGAGTGGGTGTGCCCGCATTCGTCCCGCACACACATTTCTGCACACCCTTCACGTTTTTCGTGGCCCCATAGGGAGCTCCACCGAAGGTCCCCGTGGCGCAGTCCGCACGCGTCTCCCCCACCCAGTACACCTCCGTCGGAGGCCGTCGGAGTTCCGCGCCTCCCTCGCCCTTCGTCGCTCTGCCCAGCGGCAAGAGCCTTGCCCGCTATCAGCCAGCCAGCTAGCTCTCTTTGCTGCGCGCAGCGGACGACCCGCGCGCGTCGCTGGGCCCCCTCCGGGGCGACCTGCGCGCGTCGCTGGGACTCCGCGCTGCGCTGCGCCCGCAGCCTTGGACTTTTGAGTGCGCGGGCAAAGAGGGAGTAAAAGAAGGGGGGGAAGCGGTCGCGATCCTCGCGGTGGCGTCGCGGCGCGCGGGCGACGCCGTCGGGGAGTCCCAGGGAAGCTCCTTGCGGCGGCCACGCCCAGCGTCACGAGTATTCAGAGGCAGTCATTCACAAACTATTAACATTCATATACACTTGCACCATGCATTGGCATACTCGCATTCATGCACGTAGACTCGCTCGCACGCAGATTCACTCACAGTCAGACGCACTCGCGCTCAGATTCACCCGCGCTCAGTCTCCCTACGTACTCAGATCAATCCTTTTCGTTTGCGTTGTGTACCACGCCATTCATCTCGGCACACCCCTAGCACGGTTCGTTGCCCCATAGGGATCACCACCGAAAAAGGGAATCACAATTGCGGTACTCACTCCCTACGTACTCAGATCAATATGGTTTCGTTGCCCCATAGGGATCACCACCGAAAAAGGGAATCACAATTGCGGTACTCACACCTGCATATGCTGATTTTTTGTGAGTATGTTTGACAATTGGTGTGCATTTAATGTGACCATTTTTACGTTTTCGCTCCAAATCCGCCTGTATGGGGGGCATGCCCGACCTAATGCTACTGTTCCTGGGTTGTGGGTCATGGGCCTCCTGGATGTGCGTTGGGAGATCGTTGGAGGCCTCCCTGGGGCCTGTCGGAAGCAGTGTGGGGCCTCTTGGGGGTCGTTTGGGGGCCTCTTGGGGCCTTTTTTGGGGCCTCTTAGGGGCCTTCGTCGGGGCTTCTCGGGGGCTTCTTGGGAGCCTCTTGCGGCCTCTTGGGCGCCTCTTGGGGCCTTCTGGGGGCCTCTTGGGCGAAGGCTCGGGTTTTCGGTTCGTGTTCCCTCTCTTGGGGCCCTTTTGGGCCGTCTTGGGCGCCTGGGGCCCTCTTGGATGCCTCTTGGGCCGTCTTGGGGTGGTCTTGGGGGTCTCTTGGGTCGTCTTGGAGCGTCGGGAAGCCGAAACGGCGAGAACGCCCAAATCCTGCAAAAACCAACGCGACTCAATGACTTTTGCCTCTTGGTGCCCCCTCTGGGAGGCCTCTTGGCTGTCTTGGAGGCCTCTTGGGCTTCCTGGGCCGTCATAGAAGCCTTGGGATGTCCCAGGGAGGCGCCATGGCCGCCCAGGGACCCCTGGGGAGTAGGGGTGGTGCAGATGGCGGTGTGCGTCCCGCGGAGGGGGGGTCCCTTAGAAGTTGCAGAAAGCCTGCCAGTCAGTCTTGTTCTTCCACGCCCGAACGTGCCGCAGGCACGGTGGCGGATCTGCATTTAGCATCGAGCAGCGCGCGGCTGGGCGCGCGGGTGACAATCGCAAAACTGTACACGCCCCTGGCGGCCCGCCTTGGGAACGAAAACCAGCGCCTCGCCAGAGACATCCCCACAATCTGCTCCGAAAGCGGAGGACTGAATATGCAAACAGGAAAACCGCTCCAGGAATCCCCGTAATCTGGGCGCGAACGGACGAGTGAGACACCCCCTGGCGCACCCCCGCCTTGGGGGTGCTGGAACCAGCGCCTCGCCCGAGACATCCTCAGAATCCGCTTTGAGCGCAGACGATTTCCTCAAAATCTGCTCCGTCGTCGTCATCATCATCATCATCATCATCATCATCATCATCATCATCATCATCATCATCACCATCACCATCACCGTCATCATCATCAGCATCACCATCAGCATCACCAGCATCATCATCACCATCATAATCATCCATCACCCTCATCGTCATCATTATCATCATCACCAGCATCATTGCCAGAGTCATCATCACCACCACCACCACCACCATCATCATCATCATCATCATCATCATCATCATCATCATCATCATCATCATCATCATCATCATCATCATTATCATCAGCATCATCATTAGCATCATCACCAGCATCGTCATCATCATCAGTAATCATATCATGACTATTGTCCTCCTCCTCCTCCTCAGCATCATTAGCATCGTCATCGTCATCATAACCATCACCATCACCAGCATCATCATCATCATCGTCGTCGTCATCATCATCATCATCAATACCATTATTGTCAGTACCACCGCCATCGTCGTCATCACCACCATCATCATGATCATCATCACCATCATCATCATCATCATCAGCATCATCATCATCATCATCACCATCTTCCATCATCATCATCACCACCATCATCACCATCATCATCATTATCACCATCCTCCTCCTCCTCCTCCTCCTCCTCATCATCATCATCATCACATCGTCATCATAACATAAACGGAGTAGTGATCTTGTTTTCGAGTAGCTCCTCTGAGTGAGGAATAGGACGAGGAGGAGGAGGAGGAGGAGGAGGAGGAGGAGGAGGAGGAGGAGGAGGAGGAGGAGGAGGAGGAGGAGGATGAGGAGGATAAGGAGGTAAAGGAGGATGAAGAGGAGGAGGAGGAGGAGGAGGAGGAGGAGGAGGAGGAGGAGGAGGAGGAGGAGGAGGAGGAGGAGGTGAGGTGGTTGGGTCCTCGGCGCGGTCAGAGTCATAACAATACTCCCATCCTTTGGATATGGACGATAAGGATACGGGGACAACACGACGGGAAGGTTTCGACCGTTTTCGGCCTTTGGGGGCCCTCGCCGGGCCCCAGGACCGTAAGAAAAACGGCGCGGGATGAAACACCTTTTTGGTGAAGGGGTCTAGACTGCTGGGGGTCCACGTTGTGATAAAATCACGACGTCGCATCTGGTCGGCGTTCAGAGGTTCAGAGGAGGGCGAGTTGAGACAACGGCAGTTGGCCTTCGGGGGCCCCTCGTCGCCACGGCAGCTGGGAAAACTGGTGAGCTTGGACCGCGGGGTTGGGTCCGGGGACCGACTTTGAGCTGCCGCTGTCTCAGCTCGCCCCGCTCCGAGCCGCGCGAGCCGCCGTGCAGAGAGGGAGGGGGCAAGGCGGCTGCGCCGGGCGAGCTGTGCGTGGAGCAGGTGGGCGGACGCACCGCGCCTGCGGCATGCAAGCAGACAAGCCCGAGGCAGCAGCGCGCACACACGCACACCTCGAGCAGGGGGTCGACTACAGACTTGATTTGCCCCCGAATACTTTTTTTCCCTCGAGTCCATGAGACGTGCGACGTCATTCCTTGGTAGATTCGACGAGGAACTCAATATGGGGGTAAATGAATTCTGTGGTCGATCCCCTACAGTGGAGGCCCATGCCAAGAAGCACCCTGCTTGCCTCCAGGGTGCCCTGGGTTTCTTGAGTTTCGATGGTTCTGCTGTGGAAGGCGTGACGTCCCCACACAAAAAATCAATGGACGTCCTGGGGTCTCAGGGTCGGGCTTCTTGCGGAAGGCTTCTGGTGGTCGAGCCCCTACTGTAAATCAATTTTGTCTCCGATCCCCACCAGGCCAGGGGCCCGGCCAGGGGCCCGGCCAGGGGCGGCGCCAGGTCCGTGAGCGGCTGGCGTCCTCCCCGCCCCATCGCCGCGATGGACCGCCCGCCCCGGGCGGGCGGCCAGGGGCCGCCCGCGCCATGCCAGCCCTGGCTCGCGGAGCCCGTGGCCGAATCGCCGATGCCCGCGCGCCCCCGCGGGGAGGGCAGCTCAGCAGCGGCATCGGCGGCGGCGGCGGTGGCGAGAGCGAGGAGTCGGAGGAGTCGGAGGAGGAGAAGGAGCCGTCGTCGTCGTCGGAGGAGGAGAAGGAGGATGATGATGAGGCGGAGTCGGAGGATGAGTCGGAGGATGAGTCGGAGGAGGAGGAGGAGGCGGAGGAGGAGAAGGAGGAGGAGGAGGCGGAGGCGGAGGCGGAGGCGGAGGAGGAGAGGAGGAGGAGGAGGAGGAGGAGAGGAGGAGGAGAGGAGGAGGAGGAGGAGAGAGAGGCGGAGGAGGAGGAGGAGGAGGAGGAGGAGGGAGGAGGAGGAGGAGGAGGAGGAGGAGGAGGTCGATCGGAGGAGTCGGAGGGTCGAGGAGGAGGAGGAGGAGTCGGAGAAGTCGGAGGAGTCGGAGGAGGAGTCGGGGAGTCGGAGGAGTCGGAGGAGACGGAGGTTTCGGAGGAGTCGGAGGAATCAGAGGAGTCGGAGGAGTCGGAGGAGTCGGAGGAGTCGGAGGAGGAGAGGAGGAGGAGGAGGAGGAGGAGGAGGAGGAGGAGGAGGAGGAGGAGGACGGAGGAGGAGGGAGGAGGAGGAGGAGGAGCAAGGAGAGGAGCAGGAGCAGGAGCAGGAGGAGTAGGGAGGAGGAGGAGGAGGAGGAGGAGGAGGAGGAGGAGGAGGAGGGGAGGAGGAAGGGGAGGGAGGGAGGGAGGGAGGGAGGGAGGAGGGAGGGAGGGAGGAGAGCAGGGAGAGGAAAGAGGAGGAGGAGGAGGAGGAGGAGGAGGAGGAGGAGGAGGAGGAGGAGGAGGAGGAGGAGGAGGAGTCGGAGGAGTCGGAGTCGGAGTCGGAGTCGGAGTCGGAGTCGGAGCCGGAGTCGGAGGAGGAGGAGGAGGAGGAGGAGGAGGAGGAGGAGGAGGAGGAGGAGGAGGAGGAGGAGGAGGAGGAAGCCCGCATGGAGGATGCAGGAGGCAGCCCACATGGAAAGCCCCTCCGCCGCCCAGCCCCGCGGGCCGCCCCGCAGGTTTGGCCGAGAGCCCGTCGCCCGAGCTGCCCCCGCGCCGGACGGCCCGGCGCCGGACCTGCCGAGGACGATGCGCCGCCCCGCCGCTTCCCCGAGCCCCCCCTCCCTCCCTCCCTCCTTCCCCTCCCTCCCATCCCGTCCCTCTTCCCTCCCTCCCTCCTTCCCTCCCTCCCTCCTCCCTCCCCTCCCTCCTCCTCCCCCCTCCTCCCCTCTTCTCCTCCCTTCCCTCGCCTCCTCTCTCTCTCCTCCCGTTCCCTCCTCCCTTCCCTCCCTTCCTCCTCCCTCTCTCCTCGCTCCCTCCCTCCTCCCTCCCTCTTTTCTCCTCCCCTCCCCTCCCTCCCTCCCTCCGTCCCTTCTCCCCTCTCACCCTCCTCCCTCCCTCCTTTCCCCTCCCTCCCTTTCCTCCCTCCCTCCCTCCCTCCTCCCCTCTCTCCCTCCTCCCCTCTCTCCTCCCTCCCTCCCTCCCTCCCCTCCCTCCCTTCCCCTCCCTCCTCCCCTCGGCACGGGGACGCCCGAGCGAGCCCCCACCCTGGTCACGCAGGGGACCGGGGTTCTGGCCCTGGTTCCCGCCCGAGACACCGCGGGTGCCAGGCCTCTCTGAGGCCTGGCCCGGCGGCACTTCCAGCACACCCCGTGGAACACACGGTGGAGACCCGTGCCAAGAAGCACCCTGCTTGCTTCCAGGGTGCCCTGGGTTTCTTGGGTTTCGATGGTTTCGCCATGGAAAGCGTGACGCTCCCACATAAAAAACCAATGGACGTCCTGGGGTCTCAGGGTCGGGTTTCTAGTGGAAGGTTTCTTGTGGTCGGGCCTCCACCGTATTGATGCGTGGGAGCTGGTGAGATCCATGGCCAGGCTGTGTTCTCTAGAGTGCCTCCCTCCTCCCGCCCTCCCGGGGGCAGGGAGTGGCTCCCCTTCGGGCGGCGGCGGGGAGGAGGAGGGAGGGAGGCTCGGGTGTTGTCAGACGTGTCCCTGGCCCAGGGTGTTCCCAGGATTTCCAAGGTCCCCCGCGGCCTTCAGGGCACCCCTCGCGATGCCCAGAGGGCCCCAGGGGACTCACAGTGGAGCGGACAGCTGCCGACACCGTGGGCCAGGGCCGACTTTTTCGTGAGGTCAGGGGCGAAAGCTCATTGGGTGTTTGATTCCCACGTTGAGTTTGAAACTTTCAGGCTGAGTACCCATCGTAAAGATGCCCAGTTTGTCGGATAGGCGGTGGCACAGTCTGTGGGCAACATAGAAGCGGTGTGAGAACAGCTCGAGCGTGCAGTGAGAAGCCGAGAGTGACTGACCCATTCCTCTGTGCGCCCAAGCTGCGCAACTGCCAAGAATACGTGTTGTATGAAAATGTACTCTTCTTTTGTGCCTAGAGTGTGCCCGGCGCTGGCACGAGCTGAATCGACCGTCAGGCTACTCGTCCAGGGTAGTGGCTTTGCGTGTGACCCGTCCCCGCTGCAGAGGGAGCGTGCTCGTCTGGCGTCTGGCCCCCGGCGGATTGCACCCTGCAGCCGCTCTCCTTGCCAGGCCCGCTGGCGGTTCAGGTGGCGCTGCCTGGGGCTTCGGGGGTCCCGGGGGCCGTGCCTGGCCCTTCGGGGTCTGCGGGGCTTTCGGGCGGGGTCGTGGGCCCTGGGGGTGGACCGTCTTCGGTGCCCCGTGCCAGGGACGGGGGCGGGGAGTTTGACATGAGTTTCGGTGTTTCTCATACTTCCCTGGGGCGTGTCATGGAACGGGTCGAATCCTTTCATATTTTGCAATGCCTGTGGATTAGATTGTATCCATAGGATGGGGCCTGTGTGTTCCCCCTGCCACGGACATCTTGCGAGACTCCGTGATGGGGCTGCATCCGAAGTCTGGTTAAAATGTTGCTCGTGAGTCGGACGACTGCGATCTTCAGTTTGGCCCCTCCCCGTCGTCTGTCGCTCCCCCCGCCCGCGTCCATCGCCTCCTTGGTGCTGGATTGGACGGCCAGGCGCGGGGGGCGTGCAGGCAGCGCGTTGGGAGCGAGGGGCGCTTCCGCTTCGAGAGGGCTCGCGGGTAGCTTGCTTGTGCTCTCATGGCTAGTCAACACCCACCAAACCACCCCAACCCAACCCGAATGCTTCCATTTGCCCTCCATTTCCCTCCGTGGCGCAGCCGCGGCCGCGCGAGCGCCTCCCCCTCCCCTCCCCCCCCCCCTCCCTCTACCTCTCCTCCCCCTCCCCTCCACAATTACTCAATATGAATACTACTCTCCCTCTTCCCCTGATGGCGTCCAGGGAGTAGTAGACCCCCCCCGCGTACTGTTTTTTACACACAGGATTCCCGGGAGTTGGGTTTTCGCCTGCGTTTTTTTTCAAAATGCTGCTCTCGCTGAGGCGCCGGCCTCATTTCTGCTCCCGAATCGTTCCGAATCGTGCTCCCGCTGCAGCGTGGGCCTCATTTTCGGATCGGTGTTTGGCCTCCGTCGTTCAGGATGGCGTTCTCGCCCCAGCGCGGGCCTCTTTCTCGCGCGCCCATCCGCCCGCCACCACCGCGCCGCACCACGCCCCGCCCCGCCGCACGCACACCCACCGCCACTTCCACCCACCAACGCACGCACGCACGCACGCGCACCACCACCGCGCACCGCCACCACCACCGCACTACCCCACCCACCACCACCACGCTACACCGCGTCACACCACATCACACGCGCGCACACACAGACACACACGCACGCACGCACACACACACACACATACACACGCACACACACACACGCACACACACACACACACACACAGACACACACACACCGCCACACACCACCACCGCCATCACGCACGTACGCACCTGGCCCACCACCAAACCACCAAGACGCCACACCACGTCACAGCACAGCACACGCGCACACACGCACACACACACACACATACACACCACCACCGCAACAACCACAACCACGCACACACGCACGCACGCACGCCACCACCACCCACTACGCACACGCGCGCGGAGCCACAGGTCCGCTACGACACGCGTCCGCGGATAGAGAAAATCAGCGCCATGGTAAGGGATGGGAGGGAGGGGTAGGATGTCAGATGTTGACGCGAGCGCACCTAACTTGCCCCCTCCCCTCCCCCTCTTCCTCCCCTCCACAATTACTCAATATGAATACTACTCTCCCTCTTCCCCCGATGGCGGCCTGAAAGTAGCCGACCCCCCCCCGCGTATTGTTTTTTTTACACACAGGATTCCCCGGAGTTGGGTTTTCGCCTGCGTTTTTTTCAAAATGCTGCTCTCGCTGAGGCGCCGGCTTCATTTCTGCTTCCGAATCGTTCCGAATCGTGCTCCCGCTTCAGCGTGGGCCTCATTTTCGGATCGGTGTTTTGCCTCCGTCGTTCAGGATGGCGTTCTCGCCCCAGCGCGGGCCTCTTTCTCGCGCGCCCATCCGCCCGCCACCACCGCGCCGCACCACCACCACCACCAGCACCACCACCACCACCACCACAACCACCACCAGCACCACCACCACCACCAGCACCACCAGCAGCAGCAGCAGCACCACCACCACCACCACCACAACCACGCACACACGCACGCACGCACGCACGCGCACCACCACCCACTACGCACGCGCGCGCGGAGCCACAGGTCCGCTACGACACGCGTCCGCGGATAGAGAAAATCAGCGCCATGGTAAGGGATGGGAGGGAGCGAGCGCACCTAGCTTGCCTCCCCCCCCTCCCCTCCACCCCCGCCGGGGCCCAGGGCGCCGAGCTGGCCGGGCGGCGGGCGTCTCGACGTGGGGGGGCCCGAGAAGCGGCCGCCCGGCGCTCGGTGGCCCGCCAGAAGGGCCCCCCGCGGCGGTGCGCGGCGGCGGTGCGCGGCGTCGGCCGGCGGACGGGCGGCGACGGCGACGGTGAGGACGGGCGACGGCGACGTCGGGCGGCGGACGTCTTCTCGAGGGGCGGAGGGGTGGGGGAGGTACGGGTGGGGTGGGGTGTGGGGAGGGGGGCGGAGGGAGAGGGGGGGGGGGGGGCGGGCAGGCTGCCGAGACAGACAGGGGGATCGACGAGGATGGAAGAGACAGGGATGATGGTGATGAGGATGAGGAGGATCGTTCCTCCCTCGCTTCCCCTTCCTTCCCTTGGCGCTGCCTTCTTGTTGTCCTCCAGTCGTCACCGTGTCTCCTGACAGATCCTGGCGACCGCCATGCAACCATAACGGCTGCCACCGGGATTCTTTCCTGTCTTCTCCTTTTCCTCCTCGTCCCGCTTTTCTTCCTTCGCCTCCTTTCTGCTTTATTTTGCCATAGGCGCTCACGTTGAGAGCCTTCGACACGATGTGGACCAGGGGCGTTTTTCCTATCATTGCCTCGTACAGTGCCGCTTCATGAGGGGCTTGCTTTACTTGTTTCCGCTGTTTGCCGCCTGACCCTGCCTAGTACAGGTCGGTTCCAGTAGCGTACGCTCCTTGCCTGAGTCTAGGACCACGTCGCTTTTGGGGACCACGTTTGAAGCCCGAGTTGTACACCGTCAGTCCCCTCACCCTGTGCCATTTCCTCTCTCCTCCTCCTCCTCCTCTCCTCCTCCTCCTCTCCTCCTCCTCTCCTCCATCCTCCTCCTCCTCCTCCCGCCTCCTCCTCCTCCTCCTCCCCTCCTCCTCCTCCCTTCTTCCCCCCGTATCTCATGTCGTGTTGAATTCATTGCAGGGGACCCTGATGATGATGACGATGATGATGATGATGACGATGCGACTGCTGCTGGTGATGATAACACCGATGATGAGAACGGTGATGATTTTGAGGGTGATGATGGTGATGGTGATGGGTGATGAATGATGATGATTATGCTGATTATGATGATGCTGCTGATGATGATGTTGATGATGATGATGATGCGGCTGCTGATGATGATGATGATGATGATGAATCGTATGATGATGAACAGGATGGTTATGGTGATAGGGTGGTGGATGACCATACTATTAACAGTGACAATGGTGATTGATGGCGATGGTAATGATGGTGCTGATGATGTTGACGATGATGATGATGCTGATGATGACGACGCTGATGATTATGATTATGATGATGCTGCTGCTGATGCTCATGCTGATAACGATGATGATGACGATGCTGATGATGATGATGATGATGATGATGATGATGATGGTGATGATGACGATGATGATGATGATGATGATGATGATGATGATGATGATGATGATGATGATGATGATGTTGATGATGATGATGATGATGCTAATTGTCATGCTGATGATGATGATCATGATGATGATGATGCTGATGATGATACTGATGATGTTAATTATGATGGCGACGACGATGATGATGCTGCTGCTGATGATGATGCTGATGATTGTGATGATGATGATGATGAGGAGGAGGAGGAGGAGCAGGAGGAGGAGGAGAGAGGAGAGGATGGGCATCCCTGTTCTTCTTGCATGTTTTTCCCATATTCCCTTTTCTCCCTCTTGTCACTGTTTGCAATATTCTACCTGGACTTTCCTTCCCGCTTACCCTCTTTCTCTTTCCGCCTTTCCGCCTTTCCCAATCCGATTTCCACGCTTCTTTCTTTTCCCTCTTTCTTCCTTCCTCTTTCCTGGTTTCCCCTCTCCCTCAGTCCTCTTTCCTGGTTTCTTCCTCGTTTCCTCTTTCTTTCTTTCCGTAGCCATTTTGGCTCAAGCCATTTTGGCTGAAGGCTCAAGCCAAGAGTAATCTGGCTCACACTGATACTTGTATTATCCCGATCTTTCACTCTCTCTGACCTGATTCTCACATTCATTTTTCTGTTCTCACTTGTGCGACCCACTTGTGGACGACAGCAGTTATTTCAGCCATGGAGAAGGGTGAAAAAAAGAAGGCTCAATCGAGCACGGGCCAGACTCCAAACCACAAGAAACTAAAGGCTGAAGGAAAGAGGAGGAACCATAAGAAGACGAAGTGGAAGAGGGAGAAGGCGAGGAGAAGGAGGACATGAAGTGCATGATGAAGAGGATGATGAAGATGATGACAATCATCAGGAACGACATGAAATATATCACGAAATATGCGAAAGAGGCTAAGGACATCGCACGTCAGGTGAAGCTGACAGCGGATGTGGCCGGACAAGGGGTGGAGGAAATCAAGAAGACGAACGAGGCCATGAAGAAAGACATCCAGGATGTGAAAGCAAACATGCAGAGTAAAGCAGGTAATAGTTAGAGGAGGGTGCGGACTACAGAGGAGCTGTCGGAGAACGAGGTGCGTACCAGACAGGTTATCGCCTTCGGCTTCAAGGAAAAGCTCGCGGAGGAGAAAGTGGTAGAGGAGCGTGAAAAGATCGTTAAAACATTATTGGGGGACGATTTCAATGCAGTTGTGACAACAACAATGAACCCAATTCATTTTGGAGTGGTTGAGTTCCCAAACGTCCAAAAAAGAATACCTTTTGGAAACACATACGGGATAAGTCGAACGACGGCGAGGATGCTTTTGGAGATCTGTTTTTCTGGAACTCTCTGACCAAGGACGAAAGGGAGCGAGAGAGGCGGATGGGTTGCACTAAATCCGCCGATCGATCCGGCGTGTGAGTTTCAAAGACCCTCAGATATAGCCTGAGCCTCAGTTCTTGAGCTTTCAGCTCTGCTGGGTGGGTGGGTGCCGGGGTGGCTCTGCCGGGGTAAGCGGGGGGGGTCTCTAGTCAATTTTGGTGGCAAAATCGGAGCTCCAGCTCACTCCGGGTGGGCCCCTCGCCCCGGAAAGCTCGAACGCGGGCTCATAAAAAACCCAGCGGCCGCCCAGACGGCCCAAGAGGGCCCTGAGTGGCCGAAGCATCGCTCCAAGACGCTCAATATGTTCCTCAGACGGCTCCAGAAGCCTCAAACGTACCCTCCCGACACCTCCTAAGAGTGCCCACAGACGGAACATCTGTCCCATTCCCTTTGGAAGACGTGCATTTTTTGCATTTTCGCTTCTTCGGCCTTCGCAGTGTCCAACACGGCCCAGGAGATCCCCAAAACAGGCCCAGAGGCCTTCAAGAAGGGCCCTAAGTCGGCCCAAGAAGGGCCCAAGACAGCCCGGGAGGCCCCCAAGACAGCCCAAGCGGGCCTCAGGACGGGCCCAAGAAGCGCCCAAGAGGCCCCCATGACGGCCCCAGAAGGGCCCAAGACAGCCCAAGAGGCGCCCAGGAGGCACCAAAATGGCCCTAGGAATCCCCAAGAAACCCCGAGAGGCTCCAAGTGGCCCTCAAGAGGCCCCTCAAAGGCGCCCAAAAGCGCCCCCGAAGGCTTAAAACTGACTTCCTACACACCCCCACCTGGAGGTCTCCAGGATGCCTCCTGCATGCCCCCCAAAAAGCCCCAAAGGCCCCCTAAGAGGCTCAACGATCACCTCCAAGACACCCCCCCCAGGAGGCCTCGAAGATGCGTCGTAGAGGCCCCTCAAGAAGCCCACGCAATGCCTCCAAGCTGTTTCCAAACCACTTACGTTTGAACAAACGCGCTGGGGCAAAAGCGCCCTTCTGACAGCGGGATCGTCCCGGATCGGCGGCACTGGCCAGAGGCCTCTACGATGTCATTTTGGCCGCCATTCAGACCATAAGAAGAAGGATGCGAACATATCGTGGGAAAGGGCATGGTACTGGTAAGAGATTGTACGGGAGTGGACAGGAAAATCGTATGATGAAAAGGGAGGATGGCATACAATTGCGACAGGAAAGGCTGTCGAGAAGGAGGTGGAGGAATCTACGGGCAAGTGGCGCGACAAGGTCTTACCGGATCCTGCCACGGAGATCGAATGACGGCGTGTAGAGCAACGCGGGCAGCCCTAGACTGCTCCAAGTACCAGTCAAAGGTCGGCGCCAACATTATCATCCTCACGCCTTGGCGAAGGCGGGCCGGCACACCACTCACCAGCCAACGCATCTTCCTACTGACCAGGACTCTTGAAATTGATTATGGAACCGAGGGAAGACAACGGGAAACAGTTTTCCGGCGAAAATTATAATATTGCTGACGGGGATTGCGAGTTTATGCGGTCCAGTTCATAGATACAGGAAATCATAGGGAGAGGTTGGGGAGTTTATGGAGGTGTTGACGGAGATTTTCTTGCAGGTTCAATTCTGCCTCCCAGGAACTACGCGAAGACCAACCTCCAGGAGCTTGCGCCGACGGCCAGAACAGGCGTTACGACGGGAAGTTCGACTCTTACAGATGTCGTCGACGATTTGTTCGTGAAAGTCTTCGCAAATAATGTGCGTTCTTGTCAACTTGCGTTGCGGGAAGAAATGTTTGAAGAGTTGCGATGCTGGAAGTGGGGCGTTGTGTGCTATAAGCAGAAACTTGGCGCGAGCAAAGAAAAAAAGGGTGGACAAGCAGGAATGGACATATGTTTTGCGGCTCTGGAGCTCTGGAGGCCTCGAGGGAGCAAATGGGGCGGGGATATCGTTGCGCGAACGGTGGGCGGGTGGATACCGTGCTTTTCATTCAGTTTGTGACAGAACATGTGCAGGAGACGTCCGAATCGCAGGCCAGAATAAATCGGTGGATGTGGCGATGCAGACGTGGAGGGGATTTATTTTCATCTGGGCCGGTTGCTGCGAAGAGCGAGGAGGAGAAGTTGCAGGCGCATATTGCTCGGCGAGTGGAACGCGACAGTGACGATGGGGATGGTTGGAGATTTATTGGGCGACGCGGCGTGGGCTGCAGAAGCGAAAGGGGACAGCGGCTTGCTGGATGGGCAAGGGCACAACATTCAGTTATTACAAGCACGATGTTTGAGAAGAGGTTCGACGAACAATGTACGGATCAAAACGACGAGGCAAAACGACGGATTATCGGTCAAGATCACCGCGAGTGGGGAAATAAACGAGATAGTAAATCAGACAAGCGATCCAAACCTAAGAAGCGGAATTTGCGGACATGGAGTCCTTCAGACAAGGAGGAGCATTGTAACCAAGTCGATGCAAAATTGGAGCCGATGTCGTTGATCGCAAAGAATGATTCGATGTTGGCGGAAATTGAGCAACGCTGCCAGGCAATCGATTGCATGTTAGTTGAGGTAGCAGAGGTTTGCGACGAGAAAGGGGAGCTTGAAACGCGAGACAATGATGTTGCAAGGAGCCGGCTGCGACAGATGATCGCCCGCAGACGGTCGGCAAGACATGGCGGTAACGAAGAAGACGTGGCCACTGTAAGTAAAGCAACCAGGGAGGATATTCGCGTCCTGGCGAAGGCGAAGAAGAGCGGTCGTATAGGCAAAGTGTTAGAAGAGTTCGAATATCCACAACGAATCACCAGCGTACGCAACGATGGCAAGAAGACGTGCGCGTATTTCATCTTGAGGGCGGGCGGTTCGGAGCAAACTCAAACGAAAGACATCGCTGAAGTATTTGCTGCATTTCTCGAATCTTTAGCGTGGAAATGCAACGAGTTCACCGTCCCGTTGTGGGTCGCTACGATTGACTTCGAAAAGGCTTTCGGCTCCATATCGCATGCCAGCATCTGGGAATCCTTGGTGGCTCACGGAGCGCTGGTAATATATACGAAAACGCTTCTCAACAGTACATCGGGCAGCAGGCGCATGTCTGCTGCGACGTGGTGAGCTGGGGGTTCAAAATCACGCGAGGGACCAAGCAAGGCGATCCTACACGTCCACTCATCTTCAACAGTGTCCTTGAGCAGGTCATGCGAAAGGTGGAAGAAGGATGGGCTACCAGACGGTATGGCAGGCAATTCGGATACAGCGAATACGCAATGTTCGCCAACTTGCGACTCGCAGATGACATCCTCTTGGTCGGCAGGCCACTCCCGCAGATCAAGCGCATGACCGAAGACATGCACAGAGAAAGTGCCAACGTCGGTCTGGAGCTACGCCCGGAGAGAACGATGATTCAGCACAACAACATTGGTTATGGGAGCAATGTAAGAAAGGCTGTTGCGGAAGGAAGGACAACCGATGTTATGGAGCCGCACTCAAGCAATTTGTATCTAGGGCGAGCACTAACACTAACGAGTGTTCACGGCTCCGAACTCGCACATTCATTAAAGAAGGTTCGAGCGACGTTTGGTATTTTCAAACGGGAATTGCTTGACAGGGCGCTTCCGATCCATCTAAGGATGAAGCTGTTCCATTCTGGTGTGGATCCAACTGCTTTGTGCGGCTGCGGCAGCTGGGTGATGACAGCTGAACGGGATTCACGGTAGCAGAGCTCGCAGTTCAATATGATCATGGCGATGCTTGGAGGACTCTACGCATTGTTTCACCAGACGGTGACATTGAAACATGGGTGGAATGGGCACAGCGCGTTACATACGAGGTGCGGCAAGTTATGGAGTAGTTCAACATACTTGGATGGATCGACGAGCGACGCTCCAGGCGTCAGCGCTGGGGTGAACGATTGTGCCAAATGAGTGCTTAACGGTGGGCCCGAAGAGCACAGGATTGGATTCCACAAAAACAGAGAGCCCGCGGGCGCCCGCCAACACGATGGGCCGACCAGCTTACACTGAACCCTCAGGGCACGCAGCCGGGCGCTAGCGCGTGCGGCTCGTATTCAATGTTCCGTTCCGTTCCGTTCCTTTTCCCCCCGCCCCCCTAAAACATCTTTCTCGTTGCCCCCTTCCGCCACCTCCCCTCCTCTCCTCTCTTCCTTCGCTCCTTTCTCTCTTTTCCCTTTCCCCCTGCCCCCCTTCACTCTGCTCCTTCATTCCGTCCTCCCCCTCTTTTGCATTGTCCTCCTCCTCTGCCGCAGCCCAGGCACCCGCTTCCCCGCTTCAGGTTGAGCCGAGTGGCCACTGGGGCTACTAGGTGTGCGAGGCTGGGTGTCCAGTTCGAGCAGCTAGGGGGTGCATGCCCATCACAGTAGTCGTTTTTTTTTTTTTTTTTTTTTTTTTTTTTTTTTTTTTTTTTTTTTTTTTTTTTTTTTTTTTTTTGTTTTTTTTTTTTTTTTTTTTTCTCAGCACGCAGGTGGGATGCCAGAAACCACCATTGGGGTGGCGACAGAGCATCCCGCCCCAAAGCAGCTGTCAGGGGAAGAAGAGGCCAGGGGGAGAGAAAAAATCAGGAAGAGGGCCAGAAGGCTGAGGAGAAGGGTGCGCGGCCGCAGGGGGTTGAGCCACCTGGCCCCGCCATTGCCCATCGGTCGTTGGAAGTAAATATTTCTGGAGTCCTAGATTCCAATCTACTTTAAGCGCCTTCCTACTTCCATGATCGAATGGCTTCACCTTTTCCGTCCTCCTTAGGGGGCGGGCGGACACCCAATCTACTTTTAACGTCTTCCTACTTCATGTTTCTACCTATTTCTTCCGACCGACGGGTATTGCCCACGTATCGGCATCACCCAAATCTACTTCTGCTATGTGCGCGTCGGCACCGCAGGGGCAGCTCGCGCGTTCAGACATCTCGTCCTAGTACATGCTCGTTGGTGGTCGCTCTCTGACCAGTCCGCCAGGGTAGCGATATGCCATCATATGTTTGTATCATGTGCGCGGACGTGCGCCTCCAAGGGGGCTGGATACCACCAGTATGTCCTTCCGCGTCCTAGCGGCTTCTTAGCGCACCGGCCAGAGGCAAAGCGCGCAAGAGGAAACGGCGGGAGGGGGTGGGAGGAGCCACGGGCCTTTTCCTGGATCAGTCGGTCTCGTCTCCTGCGTTGCGGTTTGGTCAGGCCGATTTGGGCTGGTCTATCCGCGAACTGTCGGCATCGCCGGCCCGGGCTAGTCGGGCCGCTTGTCCGGGGAGCCTACGCAGGGCTTTATTTGCAGAGCGTTCACGGAGCGGGGCTGCGGCAGTGCGGGGGCGCTGGGCCGGTCGGTCCAGATGCCGCACCTGGCCCGGACCGAGTAGAGGCTTGCATCAAGGGCCAGAAAGGCAGAGCGAACACTCCACATCCACACTCGTCACGCCCGAGGAGGGTGAGACGTGCCCGCCAGAGGCATGGAGCTTGAGAGGACACGTGGGGAGGAGGTGGGGGGCACAGGGGCGGGAAAGGCAGAGCGAACACTCCACATCCACCACAGTCACCACGCCGCGCGGAGGATCCCTCGGATCGCGAGGGGTCACTCCGATCCGGGCCCTGCCCCTTCGACACCTGGAGGGGGAAGAGTAGCGCCAGCGCCTCCGTAGCCATTTTGGCTCAAGCACCTCCAATCCCACGCGCCGCTCTGCCACGAAGCCGCCCGCCCGC